AGAGATTGCTCATCTTTTTTCTCAAGGAGAAGCTTGTGGGTATGAACTATGTGTCTTTGGGTTGCCATGGGGCTCCTTACCACAGGGTCACCACAGCAGAAAGTGGGAATTATCAATAAATGTCGATAGTTGTAGAGGGACTTCAGGCCTTTTTGTTCATAGGGTTGCTGTGAGTCGTGCTCGACTCGAAGGCAACATCAACAACAACAAAACCAACAAAACATATAATTAATATCTCACTCAAGTAAAATCTTGTTGAAGACTATTTAAAACTGGCTAAAACAGTGCAGTGACAGAGAACTGCCAGAAATTTAAGCTAAATTCAAAAGAGGCCATGGCATAAGGAATAGCATTGCTGAAGTGGCTTTTGGCTGAAAGCAGAGAACACCAGAAAAACGTCTACTTGTTTCTTATTGACTATGTAAAGGTATTTGACTATGTGGATCATAACACACTATGGCTAACATTGAGAAGAATGGGAATCCCAGAACTCTTAACTGTGCTCATTCAAAACTTGAACCTATACTAAGAAGCCATTGTTTGAACAGAGCAAGAGAACACTAAATGATTTAAAATCAAGAAAGGTGTGTATCAGGGCTATATCCTTCCTTCGTATTTATTCAATCTGTATGTTGAGCAAACCATTTGAGAAGCTGGTCTATGTGTAGAAGAATGTGGCATCCCAATTGGAGGAAGATTCAACAACCTGCATTATGTAGGTTATTATATATTGTCGAAAGTGAGGAGGACTTGAAGTGCTTGCTACAGAAGATAGATGACTATAGCCATGATGGATTAGATCTCAACATCAAAAAGAAAACCCTCACCACTGAGCTTATAGATAACATCATGACAGATGAAGAACAGATTGAAGTTGTCAATGATTTAATCTCACTTGGATTTACCAGCAGCACTTTGGTACCAGCAGTCAAGAAATCAAGACTTGTTGGATTGGGTAAATCTGCTGTCAAGGATCATCCCAAAGGGCTAAAGAGCAAGGATGCCAATTTAAAGACTAAAGTACACCTGATCCAAGTCATAGTGTTTTCAACTCTTTGTTATGCATCCGAAGAGTTGGACAATGACTAAGGATGATAGTTGAAGAAGTGATGCCTTTGAGTTGTGTTGGAAAGAGGACCGAATATCTTATGGTTTGCCAAAAGAATAAACAAGTCTTGGAAGACCTTCAGCCAGAGTGCTCCTAGGAGGCAAGAGAGGCGAAACCATCTCACATACTTTGAGCTTGTTATTAGGAGGGGCCAGTTCTTGGGGAAAAAAGACATTATTCTTGGAAAAGTTGAGGGTTGGCGAAAGAGAGGAAGACCCTCAGGAAAATGGACTGACTGTATCCCTGTGCTCTGGTACGTCAGAAATGGCGAGGATGCACAGGATAGGGCACGTTCCAGATCTTTTACCCATGTAGTTGTCGTGAGTCACGATCTACTCGATGGCACCTGATGATAGCAAGGAGTTCTTGTTTTCTTACCCTTCTACAGCTTCCTAATATCTGTACTCCTTCTTTTTGGGGCTGTCTTTAGTGTGCCCTGGTGGATGTTTTTTTTTTTTCTTGTAAAAGCTACTTGGTTTTATTGCAGGGCAGTTAGGGAGAAGCAGGCAAGAGAGAGTCTCCACAGGAACTCACATCACTGAGCAGGTCAGCCTGGTTCCGGTCCTGTCTGGAAGCCAGGAAAGATCAGCCAGCCTGCCCTCTTTGGTCCATCCTGCAGGCCAGGACCCACACCCATTACTCAGGACCAATGTAGGACACGGTTTTTCCTGTTTTATGATTTTTGTTGTTGTTGTTTTTAAAGTCTCCAGCAGAGCGTCCACAGTGCTCAGAGTTGATGCAAACCTTTTGTTGGGCAGGTCAATTTCAATCTGAACTCCTCCCAGTTTGTGGAGGACGTGAGTGACAGCATTAGAGCAGCTCTCACAGGTCATGTCCACAGAGAACTCGTGCTTCGTGCTTTGGCATGACTGATGGCAGCAGCTCCCCTCTGGAGGCTCCAAGCGCTCTCCGGGCTCACTTTCCGAGTGTGCATGGTGAACGTTCTTAAACTTGAACCTTGAGTGCCTTTCCAGATGTTACAAGCTGGAAGCTGCCAGGGCTTCTGGTTTTAGTGGGACCCGGGCTTCCTGTTGCTGAGTTCTGCTGTCTGCTGGAACACTGCTGTCCATCAGACTTGGAGGTTTGCTAGAAGATACTAAGCACTCCCAAAAGAACAAGGGCGCTCTGGTGGCCTAATGCTAAGGAGCTGAGCTGACAACCCAAAAGTATGTGATTCGAGTCCACCAGCTAGCTGCTCCACGGGAGAAAGATGATACTCTCCTCCTATTGGATTATCAGCTGGAGGGTCAGCTATCGGTTGGTTTCTGACTCAGTGATATACAACAACCAAAATAACGATCAAATCTGTCTTAGAAGAAGTGAAACCATAGTGCCCAGTGAGGCAAAGATGATGAAACTTCGTCTCTCGTACTTTGGGCATGTTGTCAAGAGCGACCAGTCCTTGTAAAAAGACATCATGCTGGACAATGTAGAGGGTCAGTGAAAGAAAGGATGATCTTCAACAAGATGAATTAACACAGTGTTTGTAACATTACACTTGAGCATATCAAAGATAGTGAGGGTGGTTTAGGATAGATTAAAATCTGTCGGGCACACAGTTGCTATGAGTCTTCACTTACCTGATGGCACTTATCTTCCTAAGACTGTTTCATACCCTGTGATAATAGTTAGTTATACTCCCTGATGTTGGAACCTGACAGTGTCATCACTAGAGGGTGCAGACCACACATAGTGACACTGTGAGAGGGGGATGACATCAAAATCAGTGTCTAGAAAGTTTTGTACAGTGAGTGTTTTAGCAAAAAATGTAGTGCTAGTCAGAAAAAATATTCCTCTAATCTGTTACAATAACAAGCATATTATTTTGTAAGCTCAGTTTACACGTCTCAATATAACTACAAGTTTAAATTTTACGCCAGTTTACTTTCTGAACATTCTAGTGAACTCTGGTCAGAACTATCATTATTATCCTATTACGATGGTGCTTTTTGAATCACGTGGTTTTGTCTGCACATTATACAAGCACATGCTGATATTTTTGTTCTTACCAGGGTTTTATACTCACTGACTTTGTAAAATCGTCTGGTGTTTAGGTTACAATTTTGTGATAATTAGTATTTGTCAATCTATGTCAGTAAGCATTTTTAAAGGATGAAGCAGTAATCAAGGGAAAAGTCAAAAGACTTCTTCCCAGCAACAATAATGTAATTCAACATCTCTCTAAATTCTTATTGCCATTAAGTCAAAGCTGACTCATAGTTGACCCTCCAGTGGGGCTTTGGAGATTATACACTGCACTGGAAAAAACCACTCATCTTTCTCCCTTGGAGCTGCTGGTGGATTCGAGCCACCAGAGGGGTGCTTTTTTGGATAGAAATGCAACTTCCTACTAATTCCGTGACCATAATATTCAATGAGTTACTCATCCACAATTCAATGTAGAAAGATTTTACCGTAACAGTTTTATTGTTAGTATTCCTACAATCTAAGAAACATTAATTTAAGTGTTTGCAGCTACATTTGTTATATAACATTTTATGATTAAAATTAATAAACATTACTAAGGATTCTATATGGTCTGGAACAGAAGATCATTGTGTGTGTGTAGAGAGTGACTTCATGAATTACTGCACTAGATGACATCCATCCATTGTTGCCACTATACTGAGGACAGGGGACTCAGGTGGAAGGTGAGGGAAGGAGAGAGATTTGGCTTATCTTTGAGGTGACAATATTTAAATTGTATTAAACATGCTTTTTTAAGGTGGTGGGCAGGAATATCCTGAGGGAGAACAATTTATCATTTTTTTTTTTCAGAAATTCGCCTTGTTTTGTTAAAAGGAAGCATTTTTTTATTGTTTATTTTATTTGGGAAGAGGAGGTGAGAAAAGAAGAAGAGTTGAGCAAATGATAAATTGTGTAGAGAGGTGAGATTCAGGTGTGACAGATCAGACGACAGTCATGAGGGTACTATGGCACACTGAAAACAGTGCACTCACACGTGTCTACAAACTTGTGGAGACTGTAACTGTGGCTTTTATAGCAAAAAAGACTTGGCAAAACAAAGTTACATTAAGAATTTTGAAATGGACAAATTATTCTGGATGATCTGAGTGAGACCAAATTATTACAAAGTTCTTAGTCCACAGGGAATTGTACTGCTAGTCTGTAGGTGGCATCTTTCTGGAGGTTTGAATCCACCACTAATTCCACAGGAGTAAAAGGGCAACCTTCTCCTGTGTGATTTATAGTCTCTTGAAAACCCACTGGAGGCCCAACGATGAGTCATCTCTTACTTGATGGCAATGAATGAATGAGTGGATGATAAGAGAGAAGGCAGAACAAAGGAGACATTTGAAATACTGTCTTTGAAGAGGAAACCAAAAAGGAAAGAATTGAAGGAAAACAGTCCTGAAAGCATTGCCATTGAGTATATGCTAACTCATTGAGACCTTCCAGATGAAAGTAGCTCTAGAACTTGGAAAAGATATAAAAATCGATTTTCCTTGAGATCCTCTGGAGGGAAGGGTCTACTTTGGTTTTCACCTGATGAAGCCATCTCAGGATTTTGACCTCCAGAACTAGAAGAGAATAAATCTGTATTCTTTCTATGTACTACATTTTTGGTAACTGTTATAGCAGCACAGGGCCAGGCAAGACAGAGGGGAACGATCAATAAATAGGTGGATAGACAAACTGGTGATCATGAGTTAGATGCACAATCAGAGACACAGGTGGAGAATGTTAGACAAATGTGAGGGGAACTGGGGGAAAGGTTGGTAGAAAAAAGAAGACAATGTAGTGAACAGAAGAAGATTAAGCATGTGGAAAATAGGAAATTGAAGGATACACAGAAGGAAGACAGGGTAGGAGGCTAAGCGTCTATACAAGAGAGATAGATGAGATAAGCCTGCTCTTGTCCTTATTGGGACTAGCAGATCTTTTTCAGGTGTAAATGAATCCCATTTTTGTACTGCAACACAATTCTTGAAATAGGGATGGGATCCTTGGTGGGGTCTGGTGACAGCTGAAAGCGGAGAATGGTCAGGGCCACAGCCACCTTCAATTCGTTCATGGCAAATTGCTTCCCAATGCAGTTTCTAGATCCTCCTGAGAAAGGTAGGGAGGAATGGCTGTGTCGGGATGAGCCTGGTGCAAACTGGATCGGATCAAATACCTCTGGATCTGACCACACCTTCGGGGTGTGGTGAAGAGCGTGAATGTCTAGTGAGATTCTGGTTCCTTTTGGTAAGGACCTTCCATCAGGAAAGGTGACAGGCTTACTGCACACCCTGCCAATACTTGGAACTGGTGAGTAGATTCTTAGAGACTCCTTGATGCATATAGTGGTGTAAGGCATCTTGTCCAGATGGTCCCAGGTAATGAGGGCTCCATCCCCCAGGACACTTTGGATCTCCTCTTGGCAAATCTGCTGATGCTTGGGGTGTTTGGCCAGGGAGTAAAGGATCTACGTTTTTACTTTTCCCTAAAGTCTCGTGTACTTGGAAGGAATTTTCACAGAGGAAGACATTCAAATGGCCAACAGCCACATGAAGAAATGCTCAAAATAACTGGCAATAAGAGAGATGCAAATCAAAACCACAATGATATACCATCTCACCCCAGTAGCAGTGGCAAAGTTTAGCACAGTAGCAAGCAATATATCTTGGAGAGGATGTGGAGAGGTGAGAACTCTCATACACTGTTGGTGGGTTTGTAAAATGGTACAACCACTTTGGAAGGCAGTTTGGCATTTTCTCAAAAAGTTGAAAATAACTGGCAATAAAAGAGATGCAAATCAAAACCAAAATGAGGTACCATCTCACTCCAGTAATAGTGGCAAAGTTCAATAGGGCAGGAAGTAATAAATGCTGGAGAGGATGTGGTGAGAAAGGAACTCTTATACTTTGTTGGTGTGATTGTAAAACGGTACAACCACTCTGGAAGGCAGTTTCAAGTTTCCTCAAAAAGCTGAACGTAGAAATTCCATATGGCCCAGTTATTCCACTACTTGTGATATACCCTGAGAACAGAGGCACAAACGAAGAATTCTTCACCAGCAGGATTCACCATCACAAGTACATGGAAACAGCCCAGACACAAACAGTCCAACCACAAATGAATAGATCGAGAAATTATGATACATTCACACAATGGATTACTATGCAGGAGCAATGATTTTGTAAATTATTACCTAATTTGGGAGGGACTGGAGAACATTATGCTGATGAAATAACTCAGTCCAACAAGAACAAATATTGTATAAAACCATATTATAGAATGAGTATAAGGATCCAAAGAGGGTGAGGGTGGAAGTAGCGGGATGAGGATTTGCAGGGGGAGGGGGGATTAATCATGAGGTTATACAATTTGATGGGGGAGGGGGAGGGAAATTGAAAGAATCTGTTCTGGAAAATAATGTACTCGAATTTTGTAAATAGACTATAATAATAATAATAATAATAAATTCAATATTAAAAAATGTTGAACATAGAAACTCCATATGATCCAGCTATTCCACTCCTAGGAACATACCCTAAGAAAATCAGAAATGAGGCACAAATGGAGATCTGTACACCAATGTTCATAGCAGCATAATTCACCGTCTCAAGAACATGGAAACAGCCCAAATGTCCAACCACAACTGAATGGAATGAGATGTTACGGTACATAATGGAATACTATACAGCACTCAGGAGCAATGATTTTGAAAAGTATTACATAACTTGAGAGAGACTGGAGAGTATAATGCTGAGTGACTTTACTGTCTCCTAAGGACAAATACTGCATAAGACCATTATTGTAAAAATAGACGGATAACTAGGAAAACATGTATGGGGACCCAAGGGGTAGAGGAATGAGAGCAGAGGGGAGAGGATGAAGAGGAGTGAAATCACAAGGTTGCACAATTCGGTGGGTGGAGCGAGGGGGTAAAGGAAATGGGAAAGATCCGGTGGGGAAATAAAAAAAAAACAGAGTAATGATGGGCATAATCCAATGGTGATTCATTTTGTGAAACATAATACATGGAAATGATTGTATGAAACACAATGCAGATTAAAGATAATGTGAAATACAATGTATATGAACTTTGTAAGCAAACCTGTATAAAATAAAAATGGGAAAAAAAGGACTCTTGTGTACTGAATTGAGTTAAAGTGTGTTATATTTTTGTATGTATGCCAGTAAGGTTTGAAACTCCTTTGTAGATTGAAGCACCAGACCATTTATAGGGACTCCGAAACTCTCTAAATATCTTTGTCAATTGGGCATACTTCACCCTTTCCTGAGCTGTTTGTAACTTGCTGTGCTGATGATTTCAGTACCCTCAGTTTTTCTGTGTAAAACACCTTATCATCCCATCAGGCATGAGATAAAGCCAGCATGTTGTAAGAATTGTTGCTGTTAGAAATGAGACAAAACTCATGTATCTCACTTCATTGGCCCTCTGGGGACCAGTAGAGTTTCTTGGAGTGACTTATCCAAGACTTTTCTTATCCAGATTAAAATAGCTTCAAATAAGCTTGCATCTTATCCCAAGGGCATGTTTCTATTCTCATAAATATTGCAAAAAAAGAACTTTAGGACAAAAAGCCATTTTTGTTTCTTCTCAGAAAAATTGATTTTGACATTTCCATCTTTATAGGAAGATTTTGATGGAAGATTGTCTGCACAGCTGAGTGTGATGTGGGTTGGACTTAAAGTTCTTGAGAAAATAAAAGGCCCACATCTGTTCATGGAGGAATTTTACACATACAGTAGAACTAACAACAGTTCTTCAGGGTTTGAAAAAGCAATTGGTATGACTGTATTCAGTGAGTCTAAGAGTGTCAACAAAATCTTAAATGCTACAGAAAGCAAGAAGATGGAAAGAATACAGAGTCACTGTTCTAAAAAGAATTGGCTGACATGAAATCATTTCGGTAAGTAACATATGATCAGGAACCAATGGTGATGAAGAAGTTGCTCAAACTTCACTGAAGGCATGGGCAAAAAAATATGGCCCAAGGAATTTATGGGATAACAAGTGACATGTTTTAACAGATGTAGCCCTGGATATGCTCATCAATCAATGCCAAGACATTTGGAATACAGCTACTTGGTTAATTGACTGGAAGAGGTCCAAAGTTGTTTCCATTCCCAAAAATGGTGATCCAGCAGATGTAAAGTCTTACTGAAGATTATCCAAAAATAACTGGAACAGTACATCAACAGGGAACTTCCGGAGATCCAAGTAGGATTTAGAAGAAGGCATGCAACAAAGGCTCTCATTACTGATGTCTGATGGATCTTGGCTGAAAGCAGAGAGTACCTGAAGAATAGCTACTTGTGTTATTTAGTATGCAAAGATATTTGAGTGTGTGTATCATAACAAATTATGGTAACGTTTGAGAAGAACAGGGATCCAAGAACACTTAATTGTGCTCATGCTCAGAACAAGAAGTTGTTATTTGAATAGACCAAGAGAACATTGCTGGATTAAAATTAAGAAAAATGTGCATTAAAGCTGTATTCTTTCTCCATATCTATTTAATTTGTATGCTGAGCAAATCATTCAAGAAGCTGGACTAGATGAAGAAGAATGTATTGTCAGGTTTGGAGGAGGACTCATCTACAATCTGCGTTATGCAGATGACACATCCTTGGTTGACTGAAAGTGAGGAGGACTTGAAGTATTTGTTGCAGAAGATTAAAAACCTTCAATACAGATTACATCTCAACATCAAGAAGACAAAAGATTATCACCACTAGGCCAATAGGCAACATCATTATAGATCATAATTGATAGAGAAAAGATTGAAGCTACCAATGTTTTCATCTTGCTTGGATACACTATCAACCCCTTTGGAACCAGTCCTCAAGAATTCAAAAGACTTATTGTATTGGGTAAATCTGCTGCCAAAGATATCTTCCAGGTGTCAAGGAACAATGATGTCAGTTTAAGGACTAAGGTGCATTTTTAAAAATCATGGTCTTTTCAGTTACTTGTTATGCATCTAAAAAGCTGAGCAATGACTAGGGATGACAGAAGAAAAAAATTATGCCTTTGAGTTGATATTGGAGAAGAGTACTGAATATCCCATGGACTGTGAAAAGAACAAACAAATCTGTCTTGAGAAGTGCAAGTGTGCTCCTTGGAGGCAAGAATGGTGAAGTTTTGTATCACATACTTTGGATATGTTTTAGTAGTGGCAGGTCCTTGGAAAAGGATATCATGCTTGAAAAAGTGGAGGGGGAAGAGAGGAAGATACTAAAAAATATAGATTGACATGCTTACTATAACAATAAGCTCCAGCCTATCAGAGATGATGAAGATGGCACGATATAGGACACATTTCAAATCAGTTCATAGGGCCATTATGAGTCATCGTTGACTTGATGGTACCTAACAGCAATATCACAACAAGAGAGTCAGAGACAGTGAATGATTTTATTTGGAATCCTCTTATATTGGACACAAATTGGGGGGTTAACTTAATCATCCCGCCACTTCTTTGCTCAAGGACCTCTCCAGTGGAGCATAATGATGAAGAGGTGAGACCAGGTTTGCCATAGTCCACATTTTAGCTCCATCAGGAAAATGTGTTTTCTTGTTCCCTGTACAACTTGAGTTACAGAAGACACCACATATTATAAATAGATGTCAGTACATTTCTAGTTTAGCAGATTCTATGCTTTTTTTTTTTTAAGACACAGGTTATTTCTTATACAATTACCTATCCTATTGTCGTATGTATCATCTCTCATCTCTTTATTAATTTTTAATTTTTATCTCTTGATTTTTACGTTATTCCACTTATCAGATCTTAAGTTTTCTGAAAATTCCATTCTTCTCTTCTCCAGCAGAGGATCTGGTGGATTTGAACCGCATACCTCTGGGATTGCAGTGCAGCGTCTTGCCACTAGGCCACCAG